GGCAGAGGGAAGAGGGGTTTTGGGTGTCACACTGGGGGTAGAGATGCTGTTAATAAGTGGGAACTCCTAGAGGAAGTCAAGACTTACCTAGTTTGCCCAATATGCTGCTTCTTTCTACAGGACTTCCTTTCCACAGCCCACTGTTCTCCAGGCTACCAGTCCTCCCTCCTCTCAGGAAAAATCTCATCAGCCCGTTTCCAGAGAACTGGGACTGCAGATCTGCTTACAGCCACCAGAGGGCAGGCTAGCCCCGTGGCCAAGGCCTGAGGACCAAATACCCTAGAGCCTGGCCAAGAGTCCAGCCAGAGATGGACCTAGATGCCCTGCAGCACAGCCCTGGTTACACTTTGCCACCATCAACCTGCTCCCTTGGATCTCAAAACGTCTAACTGCAGAACTCCAACTCATGTTCAGGCATGGTGCCTGATTCTACTTGGAGAAAAATCATAAGAATCACAGCCAAAACAGGACAACAGCTACTACCGTGGATACAGGTGGGGGCTTCACTTTACTACAAACTTTCTCATGCCTTGAGTGCCTGGAGATCTACTGCAGCCTACTAAGGGAGTGGTAGAATCCCACTGTGCAGATGAGGAAACAGGCCCCAGAAAGAGGAGTCACTTGTCCAGGGTCACCTAGAGAACCCTTGGTCTTCAGACTCCAGAAAGAACTCTGTTTCCAATTCCCTGAGCTGGGGTGCCATAAACCAAACCAAACACGGTGCCATCAAGTTGATTCCGACTCATAGTGACCCTATAGGACAGAGTAGAACTGCCCCTGCAGGGTTCCCAAAGAGTGGCTGGTGGATTCGAACTGCTGAACTCTTAACCACTGCACCACCAGGGCTCTGGGGGACAAGTGGCTGCAAATGTGGATGGGGGAGGGACAGGAGGTCAGAATGTTCCCTAGGAAGAAGCGAATGCATTGTGGTATCTACTGTAAATTAAGACCAGCCACCCATCCATCCATTCATAAGTGTTCATTGAGTACCCATCGGGACACAAAGATGGGGCAGAGGAGTTCCCTGCCCTCAAAAAGCTGGCAGTCTGTGGAGGGAGGGGGTGAGTCAGCAGATAATTATAGGAAACCGTGACATTCTCCTAATGGGATATGAGCAGATGGGTGGTGACCATCTAGGTGTACGCAAGTTGAGGGTGTCCCCTGGGGCTCCCAGGCCTGAAGGAGAGTCCTGGAGTCAGGGATTTTCCGCAGGGATACCCGCTTCCCACAGCTCTCCCCGGGATGGGGGCTTCCCTCCCAACTTGGGGTCCCCGCCTGTGTTGGGGACCCCGGGGTCCTCTCTCGCCCCTCTCAGAGGAGCGGGCCCAGGGAGCGATGACAGCGCACCTGAGTCAGCTCGCCGCCCACCCGCCCCTCAGCGTCTGTCTCCGCATCTTGTGATATTTCGCTCCCCGGGAGCCAGCCCCACAGAGCTCCGGAGGCAGCTCGGCAAACAAACCCAGCGACAGATTGTGCCGCGGCTCATTCCGGGGAAGGACGCCAAATCCCACCCTGCTACCCCCAACACTCCTTCCCCACCGCCCCCTCCAGGCCCTCTCCCCAGGCGCAGCCCAGTAGGGTGGGGCCCAGGAAACGCATGGGCCGGTTCCTGCCTTCTGGAGACGGGAGGGGGACAGGATCCCCAGGGACGCCCCTGTCCGCCCCTGCTTGACCTGGAAAAGAGAGCGGCGGGAAATGCAATCTAGGTGCTAAGGGAGGGTCTGGGAGTCCGGTAGGGCAGAGGATGGAACCTACAGGGGGCGCCCGAGCGCCGAGGTGTAAGAGGGCGGGGAGGCTGCTAATAAAATGAGGAGACAGAGACACACCCGGAGATGGAGAGGCAGGCAGAATAAGATGGAAGAGACAGACACAGAGAGATTGTGACAGACAGAAAGACAGATGCATACAGGGAGAAACGGACTGGGAGAGAGAAAGGAAGAGGAAAAAAAGAAGGGAGGAAGAGAAAAAGAGGGAAGCGGAGAACAGGGAGACGGAGATCATAAAATATGAATAAGAGGGGTGAGAAAATGAGAGCAATCGAAAGAGAACGACGGACGCATGAAGACTAAGGAATGGGCAAAGAATGAGTGGGAAGAATGAGGCCAGCATTTATAAAGCGCCGACTGTATGCCAGGCACTGCGCTGGACCCTGGCACAGATAGGAAAGGCCTGAGAATCAGGCTGGGGTGGGGGTGGGAGGTGGGCGCGAGGGGCTCCCTCGCTTCGCTCCCGGGAGTGGTTCGCACCGGCCCGGCTGCGCGCAGATGGCCCTGGCACCGGCCGTACGCGCCTCTCCAGAAGCTCCAACCCCGCCCGCGCCCCTTGGCGACCGTCCGCGAAGTGACACTCCCTCGGGCCCCGAGCCTGCCCCGCGCCGGGGTGACTCCAGAGGACCAGACGCCAGGCTCCCTGGGCCAGGTCAAGGCCAGGGTGAGCGAGATCACTGCTAGTGTGAGGAGGGGCGCAGGCCACGGGTCAGCTGATACCGCCCAGGACGCTGTCACGCGGTGCTCCAGGGGCCGGGTGAGACCAGCATCCACTTCCTTCAAAAGGGAGTAAAGAAAGATCGCGAAGCCACGCCTGGGATTTTCAGCCGGCCTCTTTCCACCTTTAGGGCCTCTCCTGTCCCCGCGCTGGGGCTGAGATACCCTCTCTCGGACACATCACACATACACATAAAAACGCAACCACTTGCACGCGCACTCAGACTTGCACCCGCTCGCAAATGCATTCAGGGGCGTCCACCCCGGACTCCTACACCCTCGCCATCCATGCCCAGGCTTGCCCGCCAAACGCTCGCCTAGCTGGACGTTCTGCCAGCGCAGACACGCACGCTGGTAGGCACTCGGCGCTCACCCGTGCGCACACTCACGTGCCCTAGCTCCCCCATCCCCGGGCCTGTATAAAAGGTTGCGTACAAGCATTACGAGTCCCACCTGCACACGCGTCCTCCCTCGCGTGTACGCTCATCTACACACGCGCTTGCACACACAAACTCCTGCATATACTCTTCTTCCAGTCACACAAACTCTGGGTTTGGGGTCTGGGAATGGAAGGGAAGTTGGCATCTTGCTTGGCTGGGAGCTCTCCCATACCCCGGGGAAGAGAAGCATTAAAGGCCCGCACACTGGCGCGGGGGACGCGGAGCGGGTGGTAGATGGCAACCCGAGAGGCCATCTCCTACGGGAAAGTTGGGAGGGGAGAATAGGACAAGTCCACGGGGTTCCCTTCCACTACCAACTCCCCGTCAAGAAGGGATTTCTCTAGAAGCGTGGCGCCACGAAGGCAATCGAAGACAGTCCCCCGGGTCCACCAAGGAGGGGAGGGGACCAGGATGGAGGGGGCGAATGAGCCATTCACACCTCCTAGTGGCCAAGAAAGAGTTAAGCCGGCAGCTAGGAAGCGAGGGAGGAGCCAGAGAGTGCGGGAAGGAGGGAGGTAGTTGGGAAGCGCTTCCCCGCGGTCCCCAGTCTCCCTCGGCGAGCGGCCGGGCGCACGGACTGACGGACTGACGGACACGCGCGCAGGCCGCGCTTCTGGGCGACTCGGGCACCGGGCGTCGACGGCCGGCCCCAGCCTTCCCCGCCCCGTCGCGCCGCCCCGTCCCGTCCGGGCCGATGGCTCCTCCGGAACCCCGCCGCCCGGGGGGCGCAGGGTAGAGCGCCGCGGCCCGGCCACAGCGCCCGGCGACTCCCGGAGCCCCGCGGAGCCCTCGCAGTCCGTCTGACGGGCTCGGGGAGTGAGCGGGAGCGCCCTCCCCCAGGCGCCCCCTCCCCCGAGCGGCGAGACAAGATGCTGCCCGGGCTCCAGCGCCTGCTGCAAGGTAGGGACCCCGGGCGGCCGGAGGGCGGGAAGCACCCCGGGGAGGGGAGCAGGGCGGCCCCACCCCCCGGGCGCTAGGGTGGGCAGGTGTAGGGGTAAGGGGAGCCTGAGGAGCGGGACTGGCGAGCGCCAGGGCCCCGCCCCCGCCCCAGGACTGCTCGCAGGAACGTGGCGTCCGGCTGGGAGCCTGCGGGGCTGCGAGGGGAGCTCGTGACCGATGGGGGACGCGAGGGGCAGGCGTCCGGGCCTGGAGTGGGAGGGAGGCTCAGGTTCCGCCGTCCCGGCTCCACCTGCTCCGGGGGACGCAGAGGACTCGGGCCGGCTGGGGAAGCGCCGACTCAGCAACTCCCGGAGCCCGGTGCCTCAGCACTTTCCGTCACCTGGGAGGACAGGGATGTGGGTAGGGGGCGGGATGGGGGGGGGTCCGGGAGCGTAGCAGGGGATCCAAACGGCCCTCTCTGGTAGAACATGTGGAGAGCGCTAGAAAGGGGAGCGTTCCACGGATTGAGAAACAGACAAGGGTGTGGGCCAGAGATTGGCGGCGGCGTGGGGAAGGGGTGGGGGGGGGAATGGAAGGGGGACGACAATGGCGGAGAAAGTGGTTGGGGAGCAGAAAGGAGGGAGGGAGCTGGGGAGGAGAATGAGGAATAAAGGTGAATGGGGTGGGGAGTGCCGCCAAGAAAGTGGCATTGAGGTGAGGAAGGGGGAAGGAGAGGAGAGACCAGATTAGGGGAGGTGTGGAAACACTAGGACAGGGCCTCAGAATCCAAAGGTGGGGGTAACTGAAGAGAGAACGATGACTGGGACCCTGGGGACTGGAATAGAAAAGTGGGAAGATGGGAAACCAGAGGAGGCCAGGGATGGTGACAGAGGTGGGTGTCAGGACCAGGGAGGAGGGTGGCCGAGGAGGGCTGGGGATAGGAACCTGTAGATGGGGCTCGGGGTAGATCAGGATGGAGGGGAGGGTTGGAAACGAGGGAAGGGAGGAGGAGAAAGGGGTGGGAGAGAGGGAGAGAGGGACTGGGTGAGGGTTGCCCAGGGAGGAGACAAAGAGGCTTCTGGTAACCACTTCCACGTGCGAAGCCCTCCCTTCCCACAGTGCTCGCCTTTCCCATCCCTTCTCTCAGGGAGTGGCTGGTGGGCCAGGCTTGGGGCTCTGAGCCCAGGATCTTGGGGGCAGCTGTGAGGGCAACAGAATGAGATCGTTAGTGTGGGGGTGGCTGCCTCCGAGGGTGGGCACCCTGGCTGGCTCCGTGCTGCCATTTATATCTCTGGGCCCCGTCGGATCCTGCCGCCGCTGCCACAGTGGCTGCTTATTTTGGGGTGTTACATTCTGGCAGCTTGAGAAGCTGTTTGCAACAGCTCTAAACCTCCGTTACCCACATCAGTGCCTCCCCAGGCCCCTGTGTCACCCTGTGCCACCTCCGTCCCATCCTTGACTCCTACCTCCTCAGCCCTGGCCCCCTCAGCATCTGCCCTGCAGGCCCCGGTCCTTCTCCGAAGCCACCTGTTGGGCATGGAGCTTTGTGCTACCCCTTCCAGGGCCAGAGGCCTGACCCCTGGTCAGCACTCTTTCCAGGGCCACTCTGGGCCAACCCCCCTGCCCAGTGTGCTGGCACCCCAACTCCTGCCCTCTACCATGGGTCTGTCTACCTCCTCCTCAAGTTCCCTTCCTTCGGTGGGGCTCCTGGGGGGAGAATTTTGCTTCTGAACCTTGGTACTCTAGGGTTTGACAGCCCAGGGTCCTTGACCATGGGCCCACAGGGAATGGATACTTTTTGGCTCTGGACATCTCAGCCTTCCAGAATGAATACTGTGTGCTGGCCTCTCTCTGTTCCCTTCCCTGGCCAAATCTTCTGGACACTGGTCATCTTAACTCCCGAATGGACCAGCCCCTAGAGCAGCCACAACTTGGAGCCCAAGAGAGGAAACTACCCGATAGAGTCTGGGTCCTCCCTTCGCCTCAAGGCAGCATCTCTCACACTCAGGGTGGTTTCCAGGGATGATTCAGGGCCTCCCAAAGAAAGGCCAGAGAGTCCCTTCTGACAGTCTTGACAGCCCTCCCTTCTAATTTGTGTTCCACCTTGTACTAGCTGAAGACCTGAGGCAACTCAGTGCATCCGTTCCCTCCTCTACAAATTGGGAGCCATACTGTTGCTTTCACAGGCGGTCATGTGATGATATGTTCTATTCTCTGGGTAAAGAAACTAACATGTAAAAATACACCGCCCGGCACACAGTAGGTGCTTAATAACAGATGGATCCCTCCCTTTCCTGCTGTACATTCCTCCAGGCCAAGCCATCACCAGCTGACTTTAGGGGGAAAAAAAAGAGAGAAAGAAGATGGGGTGAGCAGCGAGGGTGGGTGGGGGTGGCTGTTAGAAGGGCTTCCCCTGCCCATACAGTGGAAGGATGAGATGAAGACTTCAGAGAAACATTTCGAAGGCAGGCTTTCTGGGGTCAGGAGGCCTAGACTTTTTACTCAGAAACTGGCCCTTCCCCTCTCCAGGCCTCAATGGTTCTGTGAAATGAGAGGTTTGCTTTAGATGGCCACTGAGGGGACAGTCCCTGCTACACACCTCTTGCCTCAGTCTCCACTGGGAATTCACAACATGGGGGCCCGGAGTGGAGCAGTGGTCCTTAGAGAGAGGAGGCAGGGGCCTGGAGAGCAGTGGTGGCAAAGAGACTGAGAGGCAAGGGATGGGGAGGGGACCCATTGGGCAGGGATAGAAGGGCGGGGAGGGAGAGAAAGGAAGGCGCAGCTCACCAGCCTGCCGCTGCCCAGGAGCACTGGAGCTGGGCCTGGGGGCCGAGAAACCCAGAGCCCCCCACCTTCCCCTCCTCCTCTCCTCCAGTGAGAGCCGCAGCCTGAATTATGGATGAGGCTCCTTGGGTTACAGCTGCTTTGCACGGCGGCGGTGGCGAGGGCCAGAAATGGCAACAGAGTCACCGTTACGCAGCAGCTACCATGGCGGGGGGGCCCCCACTCAGGGTCCCTCCTCCAAGAGCCTGCAGAGAACACCACCCTGGGCTGGGGGAGGTGGGCTGTGATGGGGGTGTAGGGTGACAGGGGAAGATCAGCCTAATCAGGTCAAACGGGGTGGGGGGTTGTGGGTAAGAGGGATGCGTGGGGGCCCTTGCCAACTCTTGCCGACCTCGGCCTCGAGGCTGGAAAGACCAGGAGCCAGGGGACTGGCCCTCACTCTGGGGCCCTCTGGGACTGCACGTGCCCCTTCCTTCCCTGTCTGTCTAGGGGGTAGCTGGCAGCCCTGGAGACTGAGGGAGAGCTCCTCCGTAAACCTCCCAACGGAGGGAGGGCTGGTGGCCATCGGAACGAATGCACACTCTTGTGAGCTTGTGGATAAGGGGTAGGATTAAGGGATCAGAGGATTTGGCTTCCTCTGGTGTCAAGTCCTTGGGGGAAGCAGAGCTGAGAGTGTGACTTTGACAGGAAGGGAAGTGCCCTGGCTGGGTTTCAGGAGCCTCCTTTCTGGCCCTTGTCCTGCCACCACTTTGCTGTGTGACCTTGGGCAAGTCGCTTGCCCTCTCTGAGACCCAGTTTTCACCTCAGTAGAACACAAGGTTGAACCAGATGAACCTGGAGGACCTTTCCAACTCTGAAATCTCCATTTCTAAGGCCCTAGACCTCAGCCATCATGAAACCCACCCTGGGTCCCCCACCACACTCCCTCACCCCACCCCTGCCTGGTTCGGATAAGGGGTAAGAGACATGCTCCTGTACCCCACGTGGCTCTGAAAAACTCAGGAGGAGAAAGTAATCGTGAAACGCCGCACGGGGGAGGGGTGAGAAGGGCCGAGAAACGCGGAGGTGGTGTGAACGAATGGAACAGCAGCCGCTGTGTCACTGAGTATTACATCACACCCAGCCTACACACACACGGGGCCCGGCACTCACACACACGCGGAGGACAGCCAGCACACGCTCGCACGCACACACTCGCACACACCGGCGCAGCGCCGGCAGGGCCGGGATACTCACAGGGGTGCCACAGGGCACCCCAGTGCACCGCCACCTGGGACTTGGGGTCCCCCTCCCAGCACCCGTGTGTCCCCGCGGGAGGAGGCCACTGGAGCATCTGTGATATCACCTCCACACCTGGCCCATTGGTGCCATCGTGCACAGCTGGCTCAGCAGCACTTCAAGGAGTGAGCACCTGGCCCACACCGTCACCCAAAATCACACACACACGCATTCACACACCCAATCTCAGGAGCGTGAGACATCGCACATACAATCGCCCGACAGATGCAATTCACAGCCTCGGAGAGCTCACACCTAAAAACACCCTCAGTCTCCAGGGCCTCTGAACCAGGGAGCCCTAGGACCCTTGGGGCCAAGGATGGGTCCCCTCCCCTCTGCCTTTGAAGGCCTCGCAGGCACGCTGCCTCTAGCAGAAGGTGCTTAGTCAATGTGAATAGCTGCCTGGCTCTAGGGGCGTGGGGCCCCCCTTCTCTCCAGGAAGAAAATCTCAGGAGTCAACTGGAAATCATGATAAGGGGTGGAGATCAAGCTCATTCTGACCCAGAACTTTACCAGCTGTAGTCAGTGCAGGGAGTGAGGGATGGATGAGGGGTGCCAGGGGACAGGGATGGATGAGGGGTGCAGGGGGACACGGATGGATGAGGGGCCTGCAGCCCCCTGCTATAGCACAGGAATACCAGGGCCAAGATAAGACCCATTAGTCCCCAAGCCCTTTGCCCTCACTGGGCCTACTTCTCCATCAGTATCACAAGAGGCTGGACTATATCCCACCCTCAGAAAGTACTCTGAAAAAAAAAACATTTTCAGTGACTTTGTGTGAGAAGAGCCTGGGGTATAAAAGTGAAAGTTCCTGGGTCACCCCGGAAAACTGACTGGGGGGGTAGGCCAAGGAGGCTGCATTCTCCCTGGGACCCCAGGTGGTTGCAGGTGGCGGACAACCCCACTAGAGAGCCACTGAGCCCTGGTCCCTAAGGGCCCTCCCCACATGGGGGAAAGCTGCAGGATGGGCAGGAGGAGGGCTTTGGGCACCAGGCACAGCTGGTCCCCAGGGTGGCCAGAAGCCATTTTGCTCAACCTTAGATTCTACAAAGGCCCTCAAGTTGGTTTCAGCAGGTTTCACCTGGGGCCACTTTACCCCCAGGGGGCAGTCGGCAATGTCTGGGGTCATCTAGTTGTCACTAGCTGTGTGCTTCTGGCATCTAATCAGTCAGGGATGCCACTTAACACCCTATGTACGACTGCCCCTGACAACAAAGAACTGTCCGGCCAAGCTGTCGATACCGAGTTTGAGGAGCCCTGACTCCAAACAAGGTCAAGCACACAGTAGTGGAAACAGACGGGATGGAAAGAAGCCAATCACTGTCAGACAACTTCAAACACATCACAGTCCTTTTATAATGTCCTCTTGGGATGTTTCTGTTTTTTTCATATACCAGGATCCTCAAAAAGTAGAAGTACCCAGGGCCTCTGGGGACTCTGAGGTTGCACCCAAAACCACCCAACATACCTAGCGCCTGGGCTCTAGCCTTTAGCGAGTGGCAGGCCCTGGGTGGCTGGCACCCCTGCCCTGGCAGCCTGCCCAGCAAAGCCCCGCCACTCTCCCCGCAGGTCCTGCCTCAGCCTGCCTCCTGCTGATGCTCCTGGCCCTGCCCCCCGCAGCCCCCAGCTGCCCTATGCTCTGTACCTGCTACTCATCCCCGCCCACTGTCAGCTGCCAGGCCAACAACTTCTCCTCGGTGCCGCTGTCCCTGCCACCCAGCACGCAGCGACTCTTCCTGCAGAACAACCTCATCCGCACGCTGCGGCCTGGCACCTTCGGGCCCAACCTGCTCACCCTGTGGCTCTTCTCCAACAACCTCTCCACCATCTACCCGGGCACCTTCCGCCACCTGCAGGCGCTGGAGGAGCTAGACCTTGGTGACAACCGGCATCTGCGCTCTCTGGAGCCCGACACCTTCCAGGGCCTGGAGCGGCTGCAGTCCCTGCATCTGTACCGCTGCCAGCTCAGCAGCCTGCCCGGCAACATCTTCCGTGGCCTTGTTAGCCTGCAGTACCTCTACCTCCAGGAGAACAGCCTGCTCCACCTCCAGGTGAGCCTGCCTTCAGCCCACAGTCCTCTCTCTCCTGGCTTCTCTGCTTCTCCACGCCCTGCTCCCCCCTCCCCCACCACCCTTCCTGTCTCAGCATCTCTTCTATTTCCCTGCCCCTTTTCTAAGTTTCTGTCTGTCTCACTTTTCTTTACTTTGTCTATTCTGTCTGTCTTCTGTCTGTCCTGTTTAGGTCCTTCTCTGCCTATCTCAGAAACCCTGGTGGTGTAGTGGTTAAGAGCTATGGCTGCTGACCAAAAGGTCGGCAGTTTGAATCCTCCAGGCACTCCTTGTAAACCCTATGGGGCAGTTCTACTCTGTCCTATAGGGTCACTATGAGTTGGAATAGACTCAACAGCAAAGGGTTTGGTTTTTTTGGTTCTGCCTATCTCAATGGTTTGTGCTCAACTACTAACCTAAAGGTTAGCAATTTGAACCCACCCAGAGGTGCCTCGGAAGAAAGGCCTGGCGATCTGCTTCTGTAAAGATTGTTGTTGTTAGTTGCCGTGGAGTCAGTTCCAACCCATGGTGACCCCCTGTATGCAGAGTAGAACTGCTCCATAGGGTTTTCAAGGCTGTGACCTTTCAGAAGCAGATCACCAGGCCTGTCTTCTGAGGCACCTCTGGGTGGGTTCCAACCACCAAATTTTCAGCATGTACTTTGCGCTACCCAGGGACCAGCCACTGAAAACCTTATAGAGGACAGTTCTACTCTGTAACACGTGGGGTCGTCATGAGTCAGAATCAACTCAATGGCAGTGGGTTTGGTTTTGGTTCGGCCTCTCTCTCACTAACTCTCCCAACCCCTCACCTGTCTCCTTCTGCCTGTCTGTCTATCCCTTTTGGTCCCTCTCTGCCTCACTGACTTGCCTCCCCCATCTGTCTTCTTCTGCCTCTTCTGTCTGTCTCCCTTCACACACCCACTCTGCACACACCCCCGTGTCTATCTGGGTGTACGTGTGTGTCTCTTTCTGTGATCTCTCCTTACACCCCCCGCACACACACTGCCCTGGTTTGCCTTCAGGGGACTCTGCCTTTCCCCAGGCACCACAAGGCCTGTGGCTGCTATTCCCCCCCAACCCTAGGTCCTCCCACAGTGCAGGAAAGTGGAGTCAGAGGGCAGAACCGCTAGCACTGGTGTACCCTAGAAGGCTCCGCCTCTCTCGTACTCCCTGGGCATTGGGACAAAGGGAAACCCCACCTTTCTAGAGGCCTGTCCCTCAAGCCCCTCATCTCAGTGCAAAGGAAGAAGAAAAAATGAACAAAGAGCTGCCGAGCAGCTGGAAAATGGATGCCCTGAAAACGGAAGGAATAACAATAATTGTTATTTATCTTTATTATTATTGATCTAATTATTGTTTATTGTTGTTGTTATGCTGACTATTTGACAGTCAAATCCTCCCATTCCATTTCTCCAGGAAGCAATAACACACCCTCCAAACCACGCCGGGAGAAAACCCTCCCTCGGCTACACAGCCTCCAGCTGGGAGGGGATGAGGGCATCCAAATTCTCCCCTCTCCCACATACATCTGGAAGGCGCTTACTCCTCCCCACCCTGGGTTGGTGCCTGACAGTCACCAACTTGCTGGTCTCAAAATCAGGTCAATGTTGATGATGGTACTGATAACAACAATAATAATTTAACAGGCATAATACTGAGCGCCCACTATGTGCTAGGTGCTGAGAATACAGCAGTGGACAAAACAGACAACAATCCTTGCCTTCATTAAAAAAAAAAAGAAAAAACGTTATAGTGGGGAGACAGCTGAGGTCCCTGGGTGGTGCCAATGGTTTGTGCTCAACAACTAACCAAAAGGTTGGCTGTTCGAACCCACCCAGCGGTGCCACGGAAGAAAGGCCTCCTCCTGTAAAGATCACAGCGGAGAAAAACCTATGGAGCAGTTCTACTCTGTAACACATGGGGTCGCCATGAGTCTGAATTGACTCAACAGCAATGCAGGGGAAGACAGACAAGAAAAATACATAGTAGGCTAGAAAAAATATACCATTATGTTATCATTATTGCATAAATAATAATAATAGCAGCCACTACCACTTAGTGGACACGCTGTGTGTCATGCACCATGCTAAGCACTGGACAGGTATCAACTCTGCCATTTGCAAGCATGTGACTTTTTTTTTTTTAACCTCCCTGGCCTCAGTTTTCCCATCTGTAAAATGGGGGTAGCAAGAGAACCTATCTCCTAGGGACCTTATAAGGATTAAATGCATGAATAATTTGTAAAGGGTTTGGCATACAGTAAAGCACTATGTAAATGCTTGTTAAAATGCTGTTTAAAAAACAAACCTCATTTAACATTGGTATCAGTGTCCTGAGAATAGGTTTTTCTATGAAGTGGCTCACCTTAGAGCTTGAGGTCAACTTCAAGGATTATACTGAGGCCATGATGGGAGGGTCCCTGGAACCTTGCTTCCTTGTCTTTTCTTGCTAAATTTGCCCAGCACTTCCCAGTTTACAAAGTGTACCCGTGCACCTCATCTCATTTCCACAACTCTGTCAGGAGATTGGAGTCCCTGGGTGGTGCAAAGGGTTAACATGCTTGTCGCTAACTGAAAGGCTGGAGATTTGAGTCTACCCAGAGGCACCTCGGAAGAAAGGCCTGGCAATCTACTTCTGAAAAACCAGCCATAGAAAACCCTACGGAGCACAGTTCTACCCTGACACACGTGGGGTCCGCCATGAGTTAGAATCAACTTGATGGCAACTGGTTCTTTTTAGATAGGGGATTGTTTTCATCCTTCTTACTGATGGAGAAACTGAGTCTGGGGTCCCAAAGACGTTGTAGATATAGATATTAAGAAAACAAAATACCCGTTGCGGTCGAGTCGATTCCGATTCATAGCGACCCCTACAGGACAGAGTAGAACTGCCCCATAGAGTTTCCAAGGAGTAGCTGGTGGATTTGAACTGCCAATCTTTTGGTTAGCAGTCGAGTTCTTAACCACTGTGTCACCAGGTCTCCTGTAGAAATATAACAGCCTCTAAGTCTCTTAAACCATTGTACATGTGACTGGGGGATTATGTGTTCTCACCCTCATGACGAACCTCACAACAACCTGGCAGTGGGGACAGCTATCCCCATTTGACACAGGAAGTAGAGGTCTCCAAGGGTCAGGGACCTGTCTAACACCACACAGCCAGGAAGAGCTGGTACTTGATCCCACATGGTCTGACTGCATTCAAGGCCATTTTCATCACACTGAGCTCTCCACTAGGGCCTGTCTGGGCAGAGGAAGGTCCTTGGAAGCACTACACGTTGGGCTCATTTTTAACAGCATACACTTTGGAGTCTGCCAGACCAAAGGCTACATCCTGGCTCCTATATGACTTTGGAAAAGTGACTTAACCGCTTTCGATCTCCATTTCCTCATCTGTAAAATGGCAACAATAATAGTACTGAATAACAATACTTATCTGAGAAATTTTATGAGGATTAGAATGTAAGGCATTTAGCACACTGAAAGGTTGGAGGTGCAGGTCTACCCAGAGGCACCTTGGAAGAAAGGCCTGGTGATCTACTTCCAAAAAATCAGCCACTGAAAACCTTATGGAGCACAGTTCTACTCTAACACACATGGGGTCGCCATGAGTCAGAGTCAACTCCACAGCAACTGGTAGTGGTACGTAGGTATCATTAGTACTAGTAGTACTACTAGTACCGAGACCCAGACCTCCTTATCAATATATATTAGTTGTTCACAATGAAGACTCTGGAGTTAGAGGGCCTGAGTTTGAATCCTTGCTCTGCTATTTTCTGATTATTTAGCTTTAGGGAAGTTGCCTCCCTTCTTTGAACCTCAGTTCCCTCATCCGTTAACTGGCAATAATAAAAATAATAACCCATCGTCAAAGGATGACTATAAAGAATAAATGAGTTAGTGTATATAAAGCACATAGCCCAGTGCTGAATAAATCACATTACTGTAACTCAATACCCCATTGACACTGGCTAAGAACAGCAGTCAGGGCCTGGGGTCAGGACAGGCCTGGGCAGAGGAGACCTTGGGCGGGTGCTGGGGCTTTCTGGAATGGGAAGTGGTTCTTCCGCACACCCCTGGCAATGAATGGCATTGTGGGAAGGGAGCATCTTCATACCTGGCCTTTTATAGAGGAGAAAGAAACACAGTTCTGCCTGTGAACTGCCTGGCAGAACTAGGCTGGGAGATGTCACAGGCAGGTGAGGGAACATGCGGGCTGGGGTGAAATGCACAGGGTGCAGGTGTGACCCAAGACGAGCCAGGCCTGCCCAAGAGGAGAGTTTTGGAGGAGGCCAGAGGACCACAGCATGTCAGGATGTTGAAGAGAGGAATGGAAGTGGGTGTGGTGGGGGTTCTCACAGATTGTGCTGTATGTCAGGCACCCCGTGCCAGATGAGATCACTCATCAGCAGATACTTACTGAGCACCTACTGCATGCCAGGCAGTGTTCTGTGTTGCCGGGATTCAAGGGGGGAACAAAAATAGTGGCCCTGCTCTCACGGAGCTTATTTCCAACTTGAGTGGAGACAGGTGATAAGGACACCCGTCCTCTCTTTTAATCATCACAGCAGCCTGCGTGGTGTTTAAGAGCAGTCTGCACTTAGGCAGACCTGAGTCTGAATCCCAACCCCACCTCCAGTTTGCTCTGTGGCTTTGGGCAAATGACTTAACCACTCTGAGCCTCAACAGACCCGTCTGTAAAATGACCTGTACCTTAGGGGTTTGTTGTGAGAATTAAAGAGATGCTGCTTGAGAGAGCTCAGCCTGATGTCTGGCTCAGAGTAAGCTCTCAATTAATGGTAACTATCATTAATGGTAACTAGTCCACGAGAGCCAAAGTACGACCTTGGGTATATCCTACCTGAATTTAGAGACCATCTCAAGAATAGATTCGACGCATTGAACACTAATGACCAAAGACCAGACAAGCTGTAGGATATCAAGGACATCATACATGAAGAAAGCAAAAGGTCATTAAGAAGACAGAAAAGACTAAAATGGA